GTTATGTCCAAGTTTTGGCTATTATAAACTTTGCCACAAGGAATAACCTTGTACATGTGTCATTTTGAACATGTGCAGGTGAATCCACAAGATAGGTCCCAGAAGTGGCACATCTGGATTACAGAACAAAGGCATCTGGAATTATGTAAACATTGTCAGATTCCCTTTCATAGAGGTGGTACCGTTCTGTTCTTCCACTAACAATGGGTGAGTCCTTGTTTCTCTACAACCTCAGAAAAGAGTGTTTTGCCAAACCTGGATTTCTCCCGATTTGTCAGGTGAGACAAGATATCTCACTAATTCGTATTTCTCTTAAAAGTGAGGTTGAGCATTTCTTATGTTTAAGAGCCATTTGTATTTCTTATTCCCTGAGGTGTATTTTTATATCCTTTGAAGCCCAAATTGGACTTTTTTTGTTTCAATCAAAGCTTACAAAAACTGAGAAGAAAATAGGTGGCAATTATTCCCATATTCTAAAAGGAGGATTTCCAAAGTGTCTTGTGATCCTGTGCCCAATATCTATTCGAGGACATGAAGTGGCTTAAATTAAAAAGATCACAAGAAAAGTTCTTTGGAGAAAGCTATTGCTGGAGTGCTGAGCATTTGCACTCCACACCACAAGGGGAGAGGAGAAGCGCGTATTCTTCAGCACCGGTCTGGAAAGAACGGCTTCAAGGGGACCCTCACTCAGAGAACTTGACTTGTATCCCCTAAAGCTTCAGAGGACACAGTGGCCTGGAACCTGATTCCAAGGATAAGAAACCCAAGGGTCAAAAGGCTGAGGCCCTCAGCCTAGTGGCAGGGAAAAACAAAAAGAAGTAAGCTACACTGTCACCAATTAGACAAAGGGTCTAATCGGTAAGACAACTAAAGGCTGTGTCTAGAGCTACCCATAATGGCAAACCATCATCCATTTGGCATGCCAAGGATCTGTGAGTTGCTGTGGGTCAAGTAGATACCCTGGAAAATAATTGTGCTGGAAAAGATGTCTTGATGTGACTTCCCCAAAAAAGTAGACAGCCAGAGCAGAAGGACCCCAACGATACCAGCAGTAAGAGGCTGTGGCATGCACTTTCAGGGACAAGGGCTGAGGTAGTGACTCGATAACAAAATAAAAAATATCTGGATGTACACAGCAAAATATGACAGCACTTCAAAAAGTTCATGGAAAGATTCATATTTTTTAACTCTATCTTTTCCATGAACTTTTCAAAGTACCCTCATATATGTATGAATTACCTTGTAAGTTGAAAACTAGAATACACTAGACAGGAACAAAAAAGAAAATTAAATGGAGACACACACCATGTTCTGAGATAGGAGTACTCTTTATTTAACACATCCTCCCAAAAATTACTAAGATTTTAGAAGGGAACTTGACCAAATAATTCTTTAGTTTATGTATACTAAATATGAATACATGAATAAATATTCAATAAAAGCTGAGAACACTCTAAAAATCAACAGAAAAAGTTGTGTACATGGAAGTACATTTAACTCGTTTGCTCCCAAGAGGCATTTGGGTTATGTCCAAGTTTTGGCTATTATAAACTTTGCCACAAAGAATAACCTTGTACATGTGTCATTTTGAACATGTGCAGGTGAATCCACAAGATAGGTCCCAGATTGTGTACATGGAAGTACATTTAACTCGTTTGCTCCCGAGAGGCATTTGGGTTATGTCCAAGTTTTGGCTATTATAAACTTTGCCACAAGGAATAACCTTGTACATGTGTCATTTTGAACATGTGCAGGTGAATCCACAAGATAGGTCCCAGAAGTGGCACATCTGGATTACAGAACAAAGGCATCTGGAATTATGTAAACATTGTCAGATTCCCTTTCATAGAGGTGGTACCGTTCTGTTCTTCCACTAACAATGGGTGAGTCCTTGTTTCTCTACAACCTCAGAAAAGAGTGTTTTGCCAAACCTGGATTTCTCCCGATTTGTCAGGTGAGACAAGATATCTCACTACCCACTAACAATGGGTGAGTCCTTGTTTCTCTACAACCTCAGAAGAGTGTTTTGCCAAACCTGGATTTCTCCCGATTTGTCAGGTGAGACAAGATATCTCACTNACAAACCACTGAGACATTTTTCAGCTACCAGATTAAACAAGATTAACAGTTTCGACAATAATCAGTGGTGCTGAGGCTTTCTGCTGGTGAGAGTGTAAACTGTTAGAAACTTTTCTGTGAAACTCCTCCAGCAATATGCAGCACAACGTAAAATGTACATAGTTTTCATTCCAACAATTTCACTTCTAGGAATTTAGCCTAAGAGATAATTGCATACATTTTTACAGACTTGTATAAGGATAGTAAACATCTGGAAATACTCTTAGATGCACAATGCACATAGAGTATTGGTTAAATAATGGTACAAACTTATAACACAATCGTTATTCACATAAAAAATGTATCCAGGAAATGTTGATAAATGAAAATATGTTACAAAACCACACCCATAGTTTGACTTCTTTTTGGTTACCCTGAGTTGTGCCAAAAAAGTTATGGACTCACACACACACACCCCACAAACACACCACCAAAATGATTCGTTCTCTCCGAAACAATGAGTACATACTGCTCTTCTTTTTCTTTTTTTTTGACAGCTGGCCGGTACAGGGATCTGAACCCTATACTGCTTTTTTAATCAATTTGCTTTATTGCATCACCCAACCACAAACTTGGGCCCCGAAAAGGCCACACCTTTCTTGGTCTCCAGAAACAGGCACTTCAATTTAACCAACAGTGGATGTGGCAGGCAAGAAGGGCCTTAAAACACTGTTTGATTGATGACTCTGACCACGGGGATTTTCTCTTAGAAGAAAAGAATGAAAAAACAGAAGATTTAGAAAATCAGAATGTGAGATGAGCAATAAAAAGGGAGCACTGAACTTTCTTTTTTACTTCCTTTAAAATCAATTTAAATATTAACTTTATTCCAAGCAAATGTGGAATTTCAAGATAATCACTTCTTCTCTGGTCTTATCTGAAGTGCCCAGCTGCAATTTCCGGTCTTGAGTCAGAGAACAAACTATTACCGATTTCCCCTAATTAATCTCCATCCATTTCCTTGGGTGATTGTGGCCACTTCTAGAAGCGATGGGTGGGGGTAACTTACAGTGAAAAGATAGGTTTACAAAGACTTATGTGCTATAATAAAGGCAATGGCTATATGTGTATATATATATAAGCTATACACACACACACACACACACACACACACACATGCATTTTTATTATTTAAAGGCCCAACTTTCCCAAGAACCAAAAAGGCTGTCCAAAGATTAGCTAAGTAGCTAGCTCAAGGGCTGTCAAATGCCAGGAAAGAGAACAAGCTTGCAGTCAGAAGACTTGGCCCCACAATTAGGTCACATATCTGATGGGACCCATTTCTCCAGAGGTACCAATAACCCTGACCTTTCTACCACACAGAACTGCTACGAGGATGGAATGAAAGATGTGTGTGGAAGTGCCTGCTGTATAGCAAGGACGTAAACAGAAACTATGGGCACACAAAAAAATCATCCAGGGGATAATATGTTCCATGTCTGGGCAACTCCCCAGTTTTGACTCCTGGTCTAGATGGGAGTTGAAGACCAGATCTTATTGCTCACTTCTACACACTTTTCCCAAGACAGTTAATAGGGAAAAGATCCTTCCTCTGTCCCCACCTTAGGATCTAGCTTTATTGAGTGGGACTCACAACCTCGCTAAACACCTGTCTACAAAGTGCTACGTCGATCAGTCCTTCAACAGAAGGACCCTC